CAGAAATAGGGGCTCAAAACTAAAATAGTTCTTTAGCTTTACCGAGAAGTAACGCCCTTTGAGCTGACTTTGTAACCGCCTTACAAGTGATCGAGTGGACTCGTGATGAATTTTTCAATAGAAGGAGGTCGACTAGCACCGCCTTTCGTGTCGACTAGCACCGCCTTTCGTGTCGACACTGAGGGGCGTCGTATCGTCCTGTCGGCTGAGTTGTCGACCTTGATTATCTCTGGTCGCTAAGGAAATCGTAGCGTAGTGTGTCGAAGTAGACTTGTCAACTACTTGAGTTTAAATTATATTTTGGCAAAAATGGGAACACCATAACAGTTGGTCTCTTTTGTTTGGAGTCGGCTATGGTAGGATACGAGTGAAATATAATAATAAGAAACAATTTTGGACAGACGTGGGTGCTTTGAATAAGAACTGAAAAGTCACTTCAAAAGCGATGTGGTTGGCGTCGCCACACGCTAGTTTTACTGTTACAACCATGCTTTTTGACAGATTGCGGGTTGTTCAAGGTAAGTGGGATGAGCCTCGATCTTTGAAAGCGCTTCGAATTCCATAGATAAATCCTAGTCATGGGATACAGCTGGATCCAACGGTTCGAATTCTGATAGTTGTAAAGTTGGCAGCCTCTATATGTATAGGAACGTGACTATTAGAGGTGGCTATTGTCTTTTGAAATCCTCTCCAGAGTAACTGTTCATCTTCTCCACTCATTTTTTTCTCATTCGCTTATTTCTTCTAGCGATCAACTCTTCAATCTCCAATGGCTTCCGAACCAGTTGATCATCGGGTTCTTTTGGAAGACATTCACTCTAAAGTGACTTTGCCGCAGATGAAGACAATGTCTAGAAGGTTTGATATTCCCGAAGCGTATGATCTGTTTACTCTGACAAGGTCAGAAGTCATATTTGACCATGGGCCGGAACGGAATCCACTTTATGTAAGGCATCTGGAGTGAGGTTTGAGATTGCCCTTACACCCTTTTCTAAAACAGGTATTTAAGGCATTTGGGGTATCGCCCGCGTAGATGAAACCGAATGCCACTGTTATTTCGGTGGCATTCATGGTGATCTGCCATTGGTTGGGAATCAAGCCCTCTCTGAAAGTCTTCGGCCAGTTGGTGGCAGTGAAAGTGAATCAAAAGGAGACTCACTTCCATTTTCGGATGGTGGAGAAGTTTAGGCTAGTTACAGGCCTTCCAAATTCGCATAAGGATTGGAAGGAGAAATTCATGTGGGTCATGGGGGACAACCTAAAGATGGGCTGTTCTGACTGGCTCGAAATAAAGAAGGACGCGCTCACGGGGGTGCGATGTCTGCCAATGAGAGGGCCGAACTCGATCTGATTAAGGCGTACACAGACTCCCATTGATTTGAAGATCTTCTTAGCAAATCAGTCTTGCGGGTTGTTAGGGGTCGAATGAGCCTTTTATCGACCCAGATTATGACAGAGCCTCGGCTCTTATCACAGGGTCAGGGGAGGTAACCGCGACGCCTTCGATTCCTTCAGTCGATCCACAAGAGGAGCTGCCTGCTAGGCCAGCCAAGCGCCTTCGTCAAGACTTTCCTCCTATGGAGGTAGAGATGGCCGAAGAGGAGGTTGTTCCCTCCCTCATCCATAGAAGGAGGAGAAGGGACGCGGAAAGGGCGCCTCAGGCGAGGCAAAAATGACCAAGGCCAATGTCGTCCACTTGGACGAATCGGGGGATGGGTCGTCCTCTAGAGAATCAGTCGAGGCTTCTCGTGGGGAAGGAACCGAGGCAAGAGTGCCTGCTAGAGGAGAGTCATCTCGTCACCGCCACGAGTCAGCTCAATATGGGAAGGAACCAGTTCACGAGGAGGAACCGGAACCTTCTGTTGGACCGAAATATCATTTTTTCTCATAAGATTGGTGATGTGGGGGAGGTAGAATGGGACAAGATGGGGATGTGCCTCATCGGGCTCTCCTCCGTCAATACTCGATATGGGCAGGAGCTCGAGCCATAATTCCGCTTCAAGGCTAGACGCCATATTGATGCTCGAGGGACCGTTCTTGGGTCTCGTTGAATCCAGTCAAGGGCGATCGACCAATTCCTTCTACCCGGATATGAGAAATATCTCGAGGGAGTTCCCAACATTGGTCTCCATCACGTCCTTCGCATCTACTTCCTCCGGGGTGCTTTGCTAGAGAATGAGTTATACGATCGGATGGAGCGCGTTTGAAGTGGAAGCAACGCGTCTGTTCTATTTGATACATCTGTTGCTCTCGATCTTGAGGTTCAAATTTTGGTAAATTACAATTTATTGTCTCAAAATTTCATTTCAATTGCTAGATATATCCAAATAGTTGTCATAGTTTACCTTTAAATGTTTTACCCTCTCCAAGGTTAACTATATTAGCATTTTGTTTATTAACAACTATATAACCATTTTAACCTCCTATCATAGAAATAAATCAGGGTTAGCAACAACAAATTTCTTTGTTTTCTTAAGTGTTCTATAGTTTAGAAGAACATAATAGTTTTCTGTGAATAGTGCTAATAGGTCACGACAATTTTTTGAAAATAGATGTTTAATTATTCAATTAACAGATATTTGTCAATCAAAGGCTGCTCTGATTTTTACAATCCTAATAGCTCATATAAAGCATTATGATTCTAATAAACCATTACTGGATGCTTTGTTTCTTATCTACTAGTATGGTGCACGTGCGTTGCACGTGTATTTAATTTTGTGTTTAATTTTTTTGATGATACTTTTTGTGTGTGTGAACTATCCTTTGAAATAGTCATGAGTAATTTCAGAAAACTCAAATACAAAAGAGCACCAATCATTTGATGTTTGCTTAGAAAATTTTTAGGGATAGCAAGTTTAATGGATAATCATGATGCTCATTTAAAGATATATAGGACATAAGTATGAAAGTAATTTTTATATCAAAATAAAAATAAATAAGCTTTTATGTGTGTTGCATGTGAATTGGAAGTCTAATACATTAAACTTATTATCGCAAGTAATGTCTATTAGCACATGTTTAAATAAGTATATAATCACATGTTTAAATAAGTATATAATCAGCTAAGATCACTACATCCACCATCAAAATCTAAGCTTTTATGTGTGTTGCATGTGAATTGGAAGGCACTGGAAGTCTAATACATTAAACTTATTATCGCAATTAATGTCTATTAGCACATGTTTAAATAAGTAACCTACATACTATTCACTTAACTTATGTATGTAATCAGCAAAGATTACTCCATCCACCATCAAAATTTACCCGAACAACAACAATAATATCTCATTATATCATTTCATTCATTTTTTTCATCTATATTTATTTTACTGGTTAGTTTTTTAATTACTCATTATTCATGAAGGATACGATGGATTAAATATTGAAAATTTCAAACTCAATCAAGTGCAAATTTTTGACTAAATTTAGTTGTCAAAATTCACTTAAAAATAATGAGAAAAAATATTTATTATGGAGAATGTGCTATATATATAGTTTACATGACCCAAAAAATAAGGAAAAATAAAGTTCTATCATATATATTTCAACGTTTTCTTTTGTTTAGTATATTAATTTATAACATACCAATCATTAAATATCACACACTATGTTAAAATTTTACAAAATGGATTTTCAAGTAATATATAGTTAGTGGAACGCTTGCAATCTCTTATTAAGAAAATGAGTTAATAATGTAAATGAATTTGTAAGTCAAGTGTTTTTAATCCCATCATTCCTACATTGGGATTTTAGGATACATCAAAAAGGCATTTGACATATATCTACATTGCACACATTCAACCAAGTATATGCATTCCATACAGATATTCCTATATATATAATTTTCACATTGTTGTCAATAAATAGTTATTTACTGCTTTCATGTTACTTGACATTAAGAACTATTATGTGAATTTACTTCATGCCCGAAAAGCAATTTCTACAAAATTATGAACCTCAAGTAAATAATATTTCTCAAAATAACAAAAAAAAATGATATAACTTCAAATTACACCACAAACTTCCATTAATCACATGCACATTAAAAAAGTAACATCTACAAATTTATGAACCTCAAGTAAATAAAATTTCTCGAAATAAAGAAATGGAACTCCGCTCCATTTATCCAAAGGAAGTTAAAAACAAATCAATACTCCTTGCTCCTTAACAATAACATGCGCCTCTGGATTAAAAATAAATAATTTGATACTAAGCTCCGAAAGAGTAAAGTATCAATGAAATACATCGAGAAATTTATCATGACATTCAATCCGGGGTGTCTTGGAGCAATTAGAGGTCTTGGAGGTGGACTCCGCCTTTTGCTATTTTTAAATCTAGAAACCATTAGCCACATAAGAATAAAAAATTGGTAATACTATTTATATAAGTGTTAATGTATCGAGAAACTCTTCTGGAGATAAAAATATGAATGAAAATAAAAAATGAACTATGAAAAATGTAATCACGAAGCTCCCAACTTGAAATATTAGTATTAAAAGAAAATTGGATATTTATTTAACATCAAATAAACTAACGTAATTGGATACTAATGGTCACTCATTTAAAAAAATTACATAACTTACAAAAACCATTAAAAATTGGATAATGAACATTGATCTCTCCTTCTCTCCCTCAACCTTCACGAGTGCATCTTAATAGAAAATCATGTAGTTACTTTTTTACTATCTACATGTTTTTACGTAACCATCTAACACTATTTTTGAAAGCTATAAGTAAATTATAATAATAGTACAAACTATGACTACCTTATCAGGATTGTTTCTTGCAATCACTGAACCAACAACACCTCCCAAAGATCTACCAAAAACAACTATTCTAGATGTGTGTATATCGTCTCTTTTAGTAAGATGATCCAATGCTGCCTAGCCAAAAGGGGGAAACAAAACCACCAAAACTCACGAAAAGAACAACAACGTGGAATTAAATTGAGAGAAAAAGACCACAAAACATGTGGCCAAACCTGAGCATCCTTCATAATCCCATGTTGTGATGGGTAACCATCACTTTCTCCATACCTATAGAATATCAACATTTGTGCCTCAGATCCCTGAAGGAATATGCTATGAGTAAAGAAAACCATGCACATCCTAGAAATATGCATAGCATCCAGATATAAGAAGTGACAACATAAAGCATATGGAATTTTACCCTCTATATGAAAGCATAAACACATTGCATTCCAGCCTTTGCAGCATCATGCGAATAAATTCAAGACGATGAGCAATATCTAAAGGATACTGGTAAAGGTCGTCAACAGAATGTATATCATCTGAAAAGTTGATAGAGTTGAGGAGAGGGAAAAAAAAGGATACTGCCAGCATTTTCTTGAAAGAAGAGTATTGTTGGACCTACAGTAACAACAATAGAACTGTTATAAACTAACCACGTTGAGGAGATGAATGGTTGTAACCTTTTTTTAATTATGATAGATATGAATGGTTTGATGACATTAATATTGGATTAGTGGAGGGGTTACAAAAATTAGAAGTTAATATTAGTGGACAATTAATAGGAGAGTTATGACATTATTAGAATGTATGCATATATATGTATGTGTTTATATGTATGGATGCATGTGTTTTATGTATGTATGTATGTGGTTTGGAGGGCATTTTTGGAAGAAATGTTTTAACATGCCAATCCACTTTTATAATAGTATTAGATTTTTGCAATAAGATATCCACCGGCCCTAAGAGAATTGCAAATTATGAGAGATTGTTAAAGAATGCATTGAGTCAAATTGATATTACATTATTGATGTGCTAAGGCAATATAATATATATATATATATATATATTATATACTACTTCTAAAAGAGAAAACGATTATTAAAATTTTTACATGCTCATTTTGCCCCTTACAACTTACTTAATTATAATTTTATCCTATAATAATAATCCGACTCTCTCCCCTTCTCTCCCCTTCTTCCGTTTCTCAACCATCATTTACTTTTCTCATCTGCCACCGT